ATAAGTAGCTTGTTGAAACTCTATCAGGAGAGAGGAGAGGAGGAGGTGGAATCTTGCCCTTCCAGTAGACTCAGGCAAAGCAAACTGCTGCATCCTCTCCTAGATTGTGTGTTCTTGCTCCTTAATAACTTTTGTCATCTTGACCACACTCTGTTGCTTGGCCACACATATCCTGGTTTTCACCTGTGAAATGTTGGAGGGTATGTGCTGAACCATGACCCCTCACTCCACATGAAATTACACACACACACCGATCCTAGCTTCCCAGTTACCATTGTAGTGTTCACACTAGTGTGTGTTTGCACAGAATGCAGACTTGTTCAGGTGCCTATGGGCCTTTGCAGACTGCCAGAAATAGTGCAAATTGAGTCCACTTTAAGAGTTAGGTTTAAGGTTAGGGAATCATGGGAACTGTATTTTATTGTGGCACCAGAGCTCTCTGACAGAGAAGGCTCAATGTCTCAGAAAAAAAACAATTCCCATGATTCCCTAGCACTAACCCTAACCCTAAAAGTGGACTCAATTTGCACTATTTCTGGCAGTCTGCAAAGGCCCTATGAGAATTTATATAACACTCAAGCATGCCTGGAACACAAGCTATTTTGTCCCTGAGGAGCAACAATAGCTACAGCAAATGGTTTCTGAGGATGAGTAGTATTCTCTTGTATGAGGTACTTTGCATGAGACCGAAAGCTCTGAAAGAGGAGACCACAGAGCGAAACAGACATCTTGACTAGACAGACAAGGGCAAAACTGGAGCTGAATACCCTACACAGCATCCATTCCCCTGATGCTGGAGAGTGGCAGGATAGGACCTATGGCTGCATTCCTACATAGGACTATATAGCATCAGACAGCCTTAACAAAGACCCAATAAAAGCAGCTGATTAATAGAACTCCATTCCCATTTTTGGTTTGGTTTTGAGACATATAAGCTTATCACAAACAGGACTGTACCCAACTGTTGGGGGACAATGAGCTTACAGTTGTAAACTGCTTAGACATCCCATAGCACGATATGAAGCGGTAAAAATGGAGCTGCTTTGCATTACACAGCGCTTACAAGAACGGGAATGGAATGGGGCAAAAATGCATTTTACTGGATGGGAGAATGCCACCGGGAGTCCCCAAGGCATTCCCCAGCCGTTCCTGGCAGCCAATTTTTGAAGGACAGTTCAAAATCATCTTTCAAAAATTGACTACCAGGAACGGCTGGGGAATGCCTTGGGGACTCCCGGTGGCATTCTCCCATCCAGTAAAATACATTTTGCCCCATTTTGTTCCGTTTCGTTCCTTTCCATTCCCATTCCTTAAATGCCGTGTGATAAGCTTAGTAAACTAATCATAGCTATCTTGCTTGCTTCACTCACTCTTCTCTTTATTAAATAATTTTTTAGCAAATATTGTTGACTTTTAGTAGTGCTTCCATTCCAAGCTACACATTAGTGGATACATAATGTTATGGCAGCTCTTGACACAGCTGGACTACTTATATTTTAAATGGTTTATGCAGAATTAGTAACTTTCCCAGAGATCATAATCCTGCACAATCCCCACTGAACACACCAGCAGACTTACTAGCAGCAGCACTTTTGAGAATTGCTTTATTTATTTATTTTTAAATAGCAATCTAGTTAACACAATATCTGCAAGGTTTGCTTGCTTGCTTGTTTATTTTTTTATTTTTACTGTTTACTAATCCAGAATCTTCAGTACCACAACAACAGCATCAGGGTTGCAATATTTTGACACATGTTTTTCCAAGTGATGGCCTTCAAAAGATCAAATGGAAAATAGGCACCATCCAGTGTACATGGCACCTGGCACATGAATGAGCCTACTTGATACTCCAGTTGTAGCTACATGTCCTCATGTGGACTCCAATTTATGGCAACCCTGTCATTGTGTATTCCTAGCAAGATTCATTCAGAGGAGATTTGCCATTGCCTTTGTCTAGGGCTGAGAGAGTGGCACTTGCCCAAGGTCACCCAGTGGGTTTCCATGGCTGAGCAGAGATTCAAACCCTGGTCTCTAGAGACCTAGGACTTTATCACACAGTGCAAAAAAGACAGGAGCATAACGCTATGCTCCCATTAATATCACACAATAACGTGAAGATTTTCACACACCATCGCACGATGTCGCCATTATCACGCAATTATCCCGTGAATAAAGCGGCAAAATTATGCAGCTTTTTAAGCACAGGAAAAAGTCCATGAATAAAAAGCAGCACAATTTTGCCACTTTATTCACAGGATAATTGTGTGACAATGGCAATATCATGTGAAAATCTTTGTGTTATTGTGTAATATTGACAGGAGCATAGCTTTTTGCTCCCATCTTTTTCCCTCGTGTGATAAAGTCCCTAGTCCAACACTCAGGTCTAACCTACACTGCAGTAAAAAGGCAGTTTGACACTGCTTTAACTACTATGGCTGAATGCTATGGGATTCTGGAATTTATAGTTTTATAAGATACTTTGCTTTCTCTATCAGAGAGCTCTTGTGCCACAACAAACTTCAAATCCCAGAATTCCATAGCAAAGAGCCATGGCAGTTAAAGTGGTGTCAAACTGCATTATTTCTGCAGTGCGGATTAGACCTGATAGCACTACACCACACTGGCTCTATAAGAAAAATATTTCAGACAATACTGAGGTAGATAGGCAAATGCCTGGACATCATATTAAGGCAGCTTTCTGTGCCATTATGCTAAGTTTCTGTTCAGCAGCTGTACTTAGCAGCCACAAATTCAGGATCACTTCTGTATAAGCTGTGAAACTAATTTTGAACTTTTGGCGCTACAGCTAGCTGACAGCAAGCGATTTCAAGATTACACCATCTTTTCCATAGGATGAAAGCTGTTTCTCTGACACTCCACCGGCATCACCCTGTCCTTCGGTTGTGTTGAATAGAGCTCAGTAAAATCAGATTTAAATTGGCAGTATTGGAACAGGAAAATGTAGTGTCATTAGGTGACTAGCCTGGGGCCAGCTAAAGAGGAAGCTCTTATTAAATTGATTTTTTTAAAAAAAAATTATTGAGGTTGGGGAGGATGTACACAACCAACTGTAGATGCATATGTTTTCCATTTGGTGTCAGAAAAAGGGGCATTTTATGTAGTAAATAACCATTTCAAAAGACTTTGCTAGACGATGCCCCTTTTGTCAATCTTTGTAGGTGCCAGAAGGCTCTGCCTGGTTAACTTCCCTTGTCAAATGATATTGTCTTGACAATCACAGATGAACACAGCAGACCCATTCCTGTCAGCTCTGATGCCTTTTGGACACATTTCACTCAAGCAGCAGGCCCCGCTTTCCTCTTAAATAATCATTAAAACCGAACAATCCTCCCCACCCTCGCCCCGTTCCATATGGAAGGCATTGTTTTGTTCAGCGAGTGAAGTAAATATTGACATGATTTTTGGAATCATCACACATGTTCCAATGTAGCCAACTTTAATATGAGATATTTTATTTTCTAGTGAGCAAAGCAGATTCAATAGTTTAGCAAGTGCTGGAAGAGCCCTGGTAGTGCAGTGGTTAAATGCCTGTCCTGCAGCCACTCACTCATAAACCACAAGGTTGCGAGTTCAATACTAGCCAGGGCTCAGGCTAGACTCAGGTCTGCATCCTTCTGAGGTCGCTAAAATGAGTACTCAGCTGTTGGGGGGCAATGAGCTTACAGTTGTAAACCGCTTAGACATCCCATACCGCGATATGAAGCGGTATATAAATGAAGCTGCTTTGCTTTGGAAATCTCTCCAATTAATCTGTTTAGCAAGTGCTGGTAACCTTAATGTTTCAGTCTTGTAAAATTAACTTTTTCCTTTCCCTTTTTTCTCCTCCTGTCTTGCAGAAAAGACTCTTGGCCATTTCACCTGGAGAAGTCCAAAGCGGAAGCAGAAAAGGTTGTCTTTCAGTTGTCCCTTCCTCCAAGACAGGAATCAGAGGTCATTTATCCTGGTTGCTGATAAAAGGGGGAAAGGTATTAATAGATAACAGAAAAGGTATGTGTATACCTGTGTGTGAGTATAGATACAGATACAAATATACAGCGAATCATTGATATCTCTGAGGTTTGGTTCCAGGACCCCCTGTGGATACCAAAATCTGTGGATACTTGTCCCATTAATAACAATGGCATAGTCAAATGGTGTCCCTTGTATAAAATGATAAAATCAAGGTTTGGAAAATGACAGACAGACAGACAGACAAACAGACAGACAGACATATTCAAGCCATCTGTGGATAAAAAAATCTATGGATATTTAGGTCTGACTGTAAATGGAACTTGTAGGTCGCCTTCCTGCATATCCAGAGACCAAACTGGTTGGGAGATTCTGGGTGTTTTAGTTCAAAAAAGTAATTTTTACAACCCCTGAATGTTAGACCCTCTATAGGAGTTTGATAGAGAACATCTGCTATAATACTGTGCTATCCAGAACATGAGCATTTAATTCTGTGAACATGTTTGAACCCTAAACATTATGATTACTTATTATATACAGTATTGTCAGTATGTACCTCACATCTAAGGCTGCTCTTGCACTGCAGAAATAATGCAGTTTAACACAGTATTAACTGCCATGGCTCCATCCTATGGAATCCTGAGATTTCTAGTTTGTTGTGGCACCAAGAGCTCTCTGACAGAGAAAGTTAAATATATCACAAAACTACAATTCCCAGAATTCACTAGCATTAAGCCAGGGCAGTTAAAGCGGTGCCAAAATGTATTATTTCTGCAGTGCAGATGTAGCCTAAGAATGTACTAAAATCAGGCAAAGCCCCCTCCCTGCATGATTTTTACAATCTAAAATCAGATTTTAATTGGCATTATTAGAACAATGTCCCCAGACAATGAAGAGAAGCAAATGCATGGGGCAGGGACAAGAATATGATTTGTTTTTGTTTTTCCTCTTTTTTCCATTGCCCTGTAAGAAGTCAGAGCACTGATCATTCTAGCATGGATCTCTGGACAGGATCTTTCCCTATCCCAACTGGAAATGCCAAGGACTGAACCTGGCACCCCTTGCATGCAAAGTATGTGCTCTACCACTAAGCTGCAGCCCTTCTGTCAATGTCATGTTTGTAAGGCATTCTGTCAGAGACCTGTCTACACATTTTATTCTTAGTGTAGTGCACAGGTGAATTTTAAGCACATAAGGCATACAAATAATTACTTGCTTGTCTCTCCATCGGGACTAAAAACAGCATGTAAGAAGAGATGGAAAAAAAAACAAATCTGCAAATTCCCATCTTGATTCCCTGCTCAAACAGACCAGGTGGCATTAATGGAGTAGTAAATTTGATTTCTATCCCTGGTATCAAAATTCTGTGCCTGTCCTTTGTTTCATATTGCAGCAATGTCTAGAAAATCATTCCCATATGTGAACATTTTTCTCTGGGAATGCCTTCTAGAGGGAGAAAAATAGTTTCCATGTTTTATTGCATGAAGAACTGCTTTTTATCTTGACTTACAATTGTGATAAACTCTTCAAAAGTTGCTTCCCCAGCCCACAGGAAATTCTAAGTAAATTGAATTCTGAAAGTTTCCATAACAAGCATTTTTTTATACAAAAGTCCTGAGCAGAAAACCAGAATGATTTCTCTCTTTTCCTCTTACTGAGTACATGGAGCAGTATTGTTACATATATTCGCCACAGTTTCAGTACATCAGCAATAAAACCAAGGGGAAAGTAAGAACTCAGAACTTCCCACAACCCCAGGGCACACTGGTTTCTGCTCCAGTATTCATTCTATAGGAAGCATCACTTAGCTCCTGCATCTCCAACAACCACCAGTCCAATGTGGCAGAAAAGGAGATGTAACAAGGTCCTTTAGACCTCACAAACTAAAAGCCACATTATGCAGGATTATAATATTATCATCTAACCACTTCTGTTTTGTTATGATTAATTGATTGGAGTCAGCATGGTGTAGTGATCTGAGTGTTGGACTAGGATTTTGTGAGACCAAGGTTCAAATCCTTACTCAGCCATGGAAACCCACTCGATAAATCTGATTGTCCAAGGCGGTATTTGCACTGCAGAAACAATCCAGGTTGACACCATTTTAACTGCCATGGCTCAATGCTATGGAATACTGGGATTTGCAGATTGTTGTGGCACCAGAGCTCTTTGACGGAGAAGGCTAAGTATTTCACAAATCTACCATTCTCAGAATTTCATAGCATTGAGCCATGGCATCTAAAGTGGTGTTATTTCTGCAGTGTGGATGCAGCCTTAGCCTAAGAGGAAAGCAGTGGCAAACTACCTCTAAATAAACCTTGTCAAGAAAACCTGAGGAGAGGGTTGGAGTGAGTCAGTTTTGACTTCAAGACACAGAGCAACAATTTCTACATCTCTTCAGATTTTAACAAGGCCACTTAGGTTAGGCCAAAGTGCACTCTTTGAATAACGTACGAGTATGCCATGGAACACAAATTTTACCAGCTGAGTAGAATACCTTGGATCAAGACTGATTCTGCTGTCATTCCTCATTAGTATTAGTGCATTTCAGATTAGAAAGTCTAATTAGAGTGTGATGCAAATAGTTTATCTGTTGTAATCAAAACCGTACCCAACCACATGAGAGCCAGAAAGACCTCTCTCCACAGAAATGTTTGCACATAGTTCATCTTCTCAGCAGTAGCCATGTCATCACAATATCTATCTAACATATGAACTAAGCCTTTGATTCTTGCCATTAATCATAATCACTGCCACTTGTTATGTACTAGGAAGATGCCCAAATCTTTGATAAATTGTGTGTCTGCCATAGATAAATACACTTCACCAGGGACATAAGTGTTGTAGACCTAACTTTGAATGATAGCCAGTGATCAGGGATGGAAAGGGACAAGCTTGCTAAATTTGGGGCCGCTATCAGAACTTGAAATGTTACTGTTAAAATTTAATTCATTACTGTTGATAAACAGGAATGGAAAAATCGATTTGTTGCCATTTCATATTGGGAATGATGGAATATATCTTGTGTTATTACTAATGGTTCTTTTAAATGAATAGACTTTCAGAATCTATGGGATTTACAGAGAGTGGCATGTTTGGCTGGCACCATTGCCTTCTAGTAGCACATTCTGTTATTGTGAGCATCAAAAATCCTCTTTTTGTAGTTTTTAATTGCTTTCCTCATCCCAGCACTTTGCAGTGCATTAGACTATAAATCCAATAGTCTCATTGAAAAGTGGAGATAGTAAGTATTACCAGGTTTGGTAAGGCTGTCCCAAAGTATGGGAACTAACAACTGATTCAACAGTACCACTTTCATATACTCATACCATGTGTATGCTGTTCACTCACCCTTCAAATATCATGGATTGTTTTTCACATTGGAACCAGGAGGAAGGGGAATGATGTGTTCATTTCAATTAAAGATATTAATTATTATTATTATCATTATTATTATTTATAACCCACCCCTATTGGTTCTACTGGAGCACTGAACTGCAGCAATGAGCAGCTACAAAAATCAAGTGACAAAGTAAAGGTGAAGCATCCTTAATCAGAAATATTTTGAGTGCCCCTGATCATATGTAGAATCTTTTTCTGTTTAATTTAGTAAATGTATGCCTCCTTGCTCACTTAGTATCAAGATTAATGCTAGAGCACATGTTTTTCACATAGGAGCTAGGTGTTCCATAACAACTTCGTGGAATTTCCAGTTTCTAACAACCCCAGTGTTTTCCAGGGATTTCCAGCTGCATCCTGGTCCTGTCACACTTCTTTTAATGTCTGCATGGAAACATAGCATTGTTATGTCATTAGGATGCTATCTTTGCATGTAGACAAGTTGGGCAACACGACAGGGATGGCTCACTTCTAAGAGTGTATTGTGGTTATAACAAGCAGCCGCAAGGCTTTTTCAGGTTCCAGAAAATGAGAAAACATCTCAACCATCTCATGAAGTTAAAGTAAGATAAACCATAACTCTCCTGAACTCTCCTGTCGGTCCAGACATCACAACAAAGTATGATTACCCAAGAAAACAGAAAACAGACCTTTGAAATTCTTATTTATAGCCCTACCAGGTTGGTGTGGAGAAGCCTGCAAACCCAAGGCTCCTTCATGTACCACTAAACCATGGTTAAGCATTAAGGCCAAATTAGTCCTCTTCCTGGGAGTAAATGGTGGTAGACACAAGGAAATAGGTTTATACCATTACTGTTCATATTTCATCCTTTTGATAAAAGAGTGGAGATTATTCCTTTTTTTTTTTCAGATAATGGACAGTAGCTGTGAGAGAGGCTATATTCTGAATTCATGAGCTAAATATATTCACCCGCCATCTCTCAGGTCTTATTCAACATGCTCTCCACAGGACTACAGTAACTCTTAACATCGCTCAAACAACCCTGGTTACTTTTGGAATCTTTTGCACTCTTTAAAAATCACATATGTTTATCTGATTCCACCACTTCACTGATAGCATGTATGAACCACATGTATGCTTAGTCAGAACCAAATCCTACTGTTTTCAGTGGTGCTTACCCCTAGGAAAATATGCATAAGATTGAAGCCTTTCTGTATACCTTGTTTTTATGCAAAAAGAGATTTAGTATATCCCAAAAGTGATAGCCACAAAGCAGGAAAATCTATATTAGCAAAATTAAATTTATATATTTTAAAAAGTTATACAATGAGGGACATCAAACCAACAGAGAAAACTGGATTATGGTTAATTTCCTATAACATAACTGGTGTGCACTTTTACTGGCTAAGTATTTCTTACCTTTGTACACATATCCTACATAGCAGGCACATGGAAAACTAATCAATCTACTGTTTACAATCTTTCCCAACTAAATGGCTAATGAGTTTAACACATTCATTTTTCAGGACAAATTAAACCTGTCAGAGTGACTCACACGCTTATATAGGGGAAGTTTGAAACATATTTAAGGGGAAATTTACCTGTCAAAGCCAGTTAGTTTGCTGAAGTTTGAGAAATCCCATGCTTCTTGGGAACATTACAGAGAATGATGTCTTTGGTGCATGAAGGTCAGGGCATAAAAGGTGTTGTTTATCACTGAAGAGAGGAGAAAAACATATAAATGAGAAACTATAAAATGCAGTAACCCTAAATTATGAACAAAAAAGCTAAGGTTTTTTATAAGTTATAAAACCTCTTACACCCTGATACATCTCAGTCGATCTGCATGCACAAGCAGGCTTCATCTTTTGGAAACAAACGTTGGCATCCATCTCACTTGCTGGCCCAGGACCTAGAAGTGTAAACCTGAAGTACATCTTGATGTGTGTTTGAATGTAGATCTTCTGTTTATCTCCATAGCATTCATTTAAGTGGAATGTGTATTTGACTTTGAATCCCTATCCACTGGTCAGCACAGGGAGTCACCTTCACAGGAGGGTGGTCAGTTTGCCTATATCACCATTTATTTGGTTAAAAACACACTGCAGAAGTAATTCTGTTTCACACCACTTTAAATGCCCCGGCTCAGTGCTACGAAAACCTGGGAATTGTAGTTTATTGTGGTACCAGAGTTCTCTGACAGAGAAGGCTAAATGTATCACAAAACTACAGTTTCCAGAATTCCCTAGCATTGAGCCAGGACAATTAAAGCAATCTCAAACTAGATTGTTTCTGCAGTGTGTTTTGAACCTTTATTAGTTATTTGGACATTGACCAACATATGTCAACAGATATGGAAAACAAAATGATGCCCAGCAGATTGGAAGCAGTCCATGTACGTCCCCATCCACAAAAAGGAGTCACAAGAGACTGCAGCAAATATAGGACCATAACACTGATCTCCCATGCAAGCAAAATGATGCTCAAAATTCTGCAACATAGACTCCAGCCATACATGGAGAGAGAAATTGGGAGGTCCAAGTGGGGTTCAGGAAAGGAAGGGGCCCTAGGGACCACATTGCAAACATACGAT